AAAGACTTTCACTAAGATTTCTTGCATATCGATCAAAAATGGGATATAAAGTCAACCGGAAGTTCGTGAATATTTATATTAGGTATATGGGAGCTAAGGAAAGTATTGACCCGATTTTATGAAGGCATACCGTCATCCCTAAAATATTCACCTGGAATTTCAACACTAGACCTCACAGACTGATAGATATATTCAGTAAAAACTTAACCACATAGGGTCTACATATTTGGTGTGTGGATCTTTGAAAAGTTATAGTCCGAAAAGAAAGTGAACGAAATTAGATTGAGTTTAAAAGTTTGTTGTATAGCAAGTAGGCGTGGTTGTCATCCGGTTTCGGCCATTTTCACAGTGTATAATAGTAACCTCATCCACAAAATTTTGTTTAAATTGGTTCGGTATTTCCTGAGATATAAGATTTTACCTAAAGATGGACGGTGCCACGATCATTGTCCACTTTTATTATCTGTTCATATAAAGCCTTTTCTTACCATCTTGGTTGTGAAATTTTTCTGACGCATTTATTCAGTGAGTTATCGCACTTTCAGTAGTTTTCAACATAACCGTTATATGGGTAGTGGGTATATAAAGAAACGCTAAAAGATTTTCTCTCAGCAAGTTTGGTTGTTCTGGCTTAACGACACTTTGGCACTTTTCGGCAATGGACCGATTCCATCCATCTGCAATAGCAACCCCATTGCCAAGAAATATGTGTACGAAGTTTCATTAACAAATCTTAATTTTTACTCAAGTTATCGCTTGCACGGAAGGACAGATGGACGGACGTATGGACAGACAGACAGATAATCACTCAGAATTCAACTCGTCTGGTCAACCTAATCATTTATGTATATACATAACTCCATCGATCCTTGATTAATTTAGGGTGATACAAACAACCGTTAGGTGAACAAAACTAGTATACTCTTTAGCAACATGTTGCGAGAATATATTTACATACATATTATATATACCGTGAATTGGTCAAGTGGTACCTCAAGTCAGATGTTAGTATTAACAAACCTGCGTTACTCAGTCAAAAGTTGGAAATCATATTCAGCCGGTTTTTGGAAAGATAAAGCCAACAAAACTGCGGCTGGAAATAGAGGCGATAAATTAGAGACATGGAATTTCCAAATGGCGCAAAAAATTATATTTAGCTCCAAATGCAAAAAAGTTCGCAAAGTCCAAATCATTGGCGATATCATTAGAATTTCTGTTGTGTTCTATTTTCGCAATCAAATATTTTTACTCCTATTTACTAAAACTTTTCCATCAAAGTAGTTGGTTAGCAATTTGTTGCTTACTCACAGTTTTATAAATTAAACTATGTTCACACACACTCACGCATACTCAAGCATAGGTAGAAAAAATTGTTGCTATATTTTCGCCAAGTTGGTTTACCTTTGTTTGTTTAACTTCATTCGATAAGAAATCATAAAATCTACATGCCGATAAGCGCTTGGAAGTTCACGACCGAAGCACTCAAATTTGAATAGAGTAACTTGCAATAATATTTCTTTTATGTTTTTCCTGCGTCTTTCACTGGAGATATATAAGATTTCCTCGCCTGTCTCCGATTAAACATTTTACGCAGTTCAGCAAGGCTACAAGCTATAAAAAAAAATAGGTCTTTAGAGTTTATACTCCACGTCGCTATCCAAACAGCGGCCGCGAATTATAAAACTGTCAACACAGATATGCTTTTGTGTAGGTTCATGGATATTAGGGTGGACTAAAAAGTTTTCCATTTAAATAATATGTAAAAAATCTCTTTCCTTAAAAATACAATAGCTTTTGAACCATTTAGAATACAATCTTTGACTTTGCGAAAACTTCTAAAGCATAAAATTTTCTAACAACTAAAAAGCGTGGGCTTACCAAATAAATTACTAACACTATTAACAAAAAAAAAAAAGAAATCAAATTCAACTTATGCATATCTGTCAATAAAACAATTCTTATATTTGTTACTTAATTCTTTATTGCATTAAAAATCATTCCCAAATGCATTCCTTGATTTTTGTCACTTTTCAAAAACTTTAAATACTCACCGACACCTTTCAAAATTAAACTAAAAATTTTCCCTTGGAGTGACGCTTTTTCTCTCTGTATTGATTTCTTTTAAAATTTCGACAGTTTTGTTTATGGCTCACCCTACAGTGTTTGTACTAAACGAAAACATAATATAATTATATGCTCACATATGCACAATGAGAGTAAATACTGATGAAGGCGATATAAAAGTGATTTACAGTCATTTCCACGGCGAAGAGGAAATTAGGTTTTTAATAGAATCATTTAACCGTTGTTATAAACTTGTATATGTAAGAAGCACTCTTATGGAGAGTGGCGGAAACTGACGGATTCCACTCTTACTTTCCATCTTGTAAACTTGAGAAAAAGTGCAGAACTTCTTAAAACCGTTTAGACTCTTGTTTCAATGTTAGGAGTAGTATTCTGCATACATCGCATCTTATATATAGTAGAATGAAATATATGGTAAGAAAGTTCTAAGTGCTTAACGAGGAATAAATTGAGTTTTGTAGTGATAAGGCATTGTTATTTAGAAATATTCGGAAAACTCCGATAGAGATAACGCAATACTCGTGAAAGCTTCTCTGACCAAGGACAAAAAAATGAACTTTTAACTTGCGCTGAAACCAACAAAAGTACTGCTCATTTTGCCGACATTCTCATATCACTTCCCATCCCTTCTAATTATGCTGCTATTTGAGCTTAACTCTAAAGACCGTCTGCTGAAGATGTTTGCTTGTTGCCCGTTCAAATTCATATTGTGTGGTTAAGTGGATAATTTGACTATTTTCCGAGTTAAGGGGTTACATGGCTTTCACAGCCTTGAAAAGTTGTGCGCTCGAGGTTAGCTATATAGTCCCTTAAAACTTTAAACACGTTTTTCTCGAAACTTTCAAAGTCAGTTGTCAAGATTTCTCGCGAACTATTTAACCGATCTTATTAAAATTTTAAACAGGTCAGGATATAATTTACAAGATCTTGAACGAAGGATTTTTCTTTTTGTTCAATTACAACTACAGGGTGATTCATGACTGTGAACCTACTACAAAAACAAACCGTAATAACTTTTTTGCTGTGTGAATAATGGACTTACATTTGATTTATTTATCAGGTTATGAGTGCTTGGAATACCGAAAAGAGGGTTTGGATAGTGCAGCGGTACCATTTCTTTGCAGTTCGCCATTTCCGTCCAAATTATTACACGTCATTACAACGGATAATTCATGATTACTTAAACCTGTTTCCGTACAAAATTCAAAAAATAAGCTTGGTAAACTATCCCGATTTCAACCCTTCAGGCCGCAATCAATAATTTTCTAATTATATTAATTTATAAAATAAAATAAAATTTGCTATATAATAAAAATAAATAAATTAAATGTATTGAGTAAATACAAGTATTACGGTTTGTTTTTGTAGCACGATTCGTGAGACATCCTGTAGTTAAAAAAACAAAAACGTCGAAAAATGAATTTGCATTTTTTTGTAAAAACGTCGTTTAATTTCCCCTTTTTTTGGCTTTTTCTTCGTCCAATACCTAGTTTATGGTCTTAATTAAAACATGTATTTTTTATACTCTCGCAACATGTTGCACAGAGTATAATACATACAAGTAGCTTTGTTCCCCTAAAGTTTGTCTGAATCACCTAAAACTTATCAAGATAAATATGGAGTTATATATATATATATATAAATGATCAGGGTGACAAGACGAGTTGAAATCTGAGTAGATGTTTGTCCGTCCGTCCATCTGTCCGTGCAAGCTGTAACTTGAATAAAAACTAAGATATCTTGATGAAACTTGGTACACGTATGCCCTGGAACCCCCTGAGCGTAATCAGATCACCGCCACGCCCACAAAACACCAATAAATGAAACACAGCCTGAATGGCAAGAAAGGGCTTTTTGGTAACCGGTGTAAAAATTGTGGAATGGGCGTGGCACCGCCCACTTCTAGATGAAATCCTTTATCTCAGGATCTGCTATTTTTAATAAAATTTGGTGTGTGATTTTACCCAATTATTACTATCATACACTGTGAAAATGGGCGAAATTATCTTATTCTTTCACTTTACAGTATACTAATCAAACATCAATGCAGTTATTAAAGTAAAACTTTTCACAAATAGTGTACTCAAAGTATTTATTCTAACGCCTGAAATCGGACCATAACTTTTTAAGAACTCAGACAAATATATGGACACCAGTGCATATGGCTGATTTTTTACTGAACATATGGGTTAGTCTATGAGTTCTAGTATTGAAATTCAAGGAAAATATTTTTGTGATAATAGCATGCCAAAAATGGGTAAAATCAGGTCAATGCTTCTCTTAGCCCAAATACCTAATATAAATATCTTCGTACTTCCGGTTTAATTTATACCGCATCTATCGGTCAATATGTTAGAAATCTAAGTGCAATTCCGAAAGATCTCTTACTAATAATAGTGTAAGTAAAAGAAAGAAAGTTATGCGGAAAAGTAAAGGTAATGAAAAATTCATTAATCTTGTATATATAGTTTCCGCAAAATTTGTGTGACAAACTCAAAAAACCAAATTTTTGTGTTTTTTACCTCACGCGGGTCATTTATATATATTTATATTTTATAGGGTTAGCGACCAAAAAAAATGTGTATGTGGTATTCTAGAAAAGTCCCAGCCAAGCTACAGTTACAATATTAAGCAGATAGGTGCATTAACACTACACTGAACCACATTGTTGAAAATCGTAGACTAGTGTTACCGCCGAAGCCATCATTGAAACCATTGTACTCCCAAGTAAAGCTTAACAAAGCACCATATAAGAACTCGGTGGATTTGATAATTACCGATTAGTTGTTAATTAAGAGTTGCCTAACAAAGTGGGTTACCTTTTAAACTATACTGTGATATCACGGGTTAAATGAGTGCTTAAATCTACTGTCTTTCTGTAAGAGCTTTCTCACTGCGCCGCTTTTATTTGTTGTTATAATATTAGTTTACTAATCTATTGCCGATACGCAGATCTTTTGGTCTAATTGCCATATGCACGTATTTCAGCGAATAGTTGAGTCCACGCCAATTCGACCACACTATACCGTCAGCATAGGATTCAGTGGAGCCATTAAGATAGAGTCCATTTAAGTTGCTGTAAGTTGAGAGAAATGGCAGTTAATTTATTGTTTCTATATATGCATGTATTATGATGTAAATATGTAAATTTACCTTTTGTGGCAAGAATGCCTACCATACCACCAACCGCCTTTATATTTCTCTGCGCAATTGATACCACGGTCGCTATTATCCTGATCGACTGTGCTGAACTTAGCGCCATCGTGTATGCCAGTCAAGGCGTCCCCTGATGTGCCCAAATACGCGCCTAAAATACTCAATGCATATTTTTGGCTTTCGTCGGCAATGGCAATACTGTCGTAAATGGCATGTTTATCCACACCATCGAAATCCCTCAACTCGATCCATAATTCGTGCAACTGTGAAGCCGTTAGCGCGTGCAATTTATCGAGACCAATAAAGAAATTTGTATTTAAGTTGCCAAAGCCGTTCTTATACTCCTCCCAGCCACGATAAAATTGTATGGAATCGTCCTGCCGGCGTTGTATTACTGTCCAAGCCTCTCCACCCAATGGATCCAGCAAACAGTACACATAGAACGCTTATATATACCACTTTCAGCCTTGCTCCCCGCCAAATGTACTGCTTCATTGCAGTTCGACGGAAAATAGTTCATACTGTAGTCATCGTTACCCGCAATGCTCGCTGTACTGGCTCCGAGACAACAGTAAATTAGCGGCAAAGCTGAAAGGAACGAGAACCACTGTTGTCTACACATCTTCCCGAATTTCCTTTTCAAAATAACACTGTTGAGGCTTTCAGGTGTGCTATTTATACGATTTTTTGCCACATTTGTAAGAATTGAATTCGTAGGCACTTCAGCAGATGTCTTTAGAAGCAACAATAATGACGGTTACGGATATTAAATAGTAACTGTAACAAAGGTATTTATTGTTGTAGCAGTTCCTAAAGGGGAGATATATTTTATGGTTCCGATATGGCAAAACTGTATGTATTTTGTACATCCATTACCAATAAACACATCGGGCACTAAGCTCTGTCTGATACGATAGAAGTAAGAAACTTTGCAATTAATTGATTTAATTTTTATACTCTCCCAACATGTTGCTACAGAGTATAATACATAGTTTTGTTCACCTAACGGTTGTTTGTATCACCTAAAACTAATCGAGTTAGATATAGGGTTATGTTTATATAAATGATCAGGATGAAGGGACGAGTTAAAATCCGTCCGTCTGTCCGTCTAGGCAAGCAGTAGCTTGAGTAAAAATTTAGATATCTTTATAAAAGTAAGTACACATGTTTCTAGGTACCGTAAAACGGTTGGTATTGCAGATAGGCGTAATCGGACCACTGCCACGCCCACAAACGGCATTAATCATAAACGAATAAATTGCCATAACTAAGCTCCAAAATAAGAAACAAGGCTGTTATTGGGTATACAGGATCACATTAAGAAAGGGCATCTGCAGCTGAAAATTTTTTTAAAAGTGGGCGTCCTACCTCCCGCTAACAGGTTTAATAAACATATCTCCTTAACCATTAAGTCTAAAAATACTAAATTCACTCAGTAGAAATATTTTTAGCGCCACTATCGACAGTGCGAAAATGGGTGAAATCGGGTGGCAACTCCGACCACTTCCCATATAACGGTTCTGTTAAGAACTAAAGACACTAAATTTTATCTCTGGGATGGTATGAGATCACCTTATAGGAACTGCGATAGTGGGCGTGGCACCGCCTACTTTTAGGTGAAAACCCATATCTTGGGATATGCTTAACCGATTTCAACCAAATTCAGTACATTACATTATTCTCATATTTTTAAGGTATAACGTGCAAACGATCGAAATCGGATTACAACCACGCCTATTTCCCATATAACACCATATAAAATTCCGTCTGATTCTTCAACTTTAAACTATGCAAATCAAGCAAAATATATTAATAAATCTCAAACTAGTATACCGTTTGACTTTGCGAGAGTATAAAATGGTCGGTTACATCCGAACTTAGCTCTTCCTTTCTTATATCAAATACTTTGTTTAATAATAAGACCGTGCTGGCATCGCCTGGAATATGTTGATTTGTGGGGCAGTAAAAATGAGTGAAGTATGTTTGTTAAGTCAGGATCAAGTGAGGATGTGTAAGAGGCAAGTAGAACTCTTCATTTGCAAACGACTTTTTTTATTTTTCTAAGATATCCCGAGAGATGTTTCTGCTTCTAATAAGCGCCAAAAGCGTTGATTACTGTTGAGAATTAGATATGCTCCTTGGCAGGAAGCATCTGAACCTCAATATATAAGCCGAGATCTGGGGAAGGCATTCTGTCACTGTCACGAATGCAGTTTTCTGGTAGGTCTTTGGTCATCTTATATGCGTCCTAGTAAAACCTGTCGACTCCACTTGCTGCATAATTCATAATAGTTTGTTAAGGAATTTCAATAGAACCTTACTCCGACTCTGTGAATTTCGATGGATGTGTAAAAATTTATTTATATGTCGCCTTACGATTTACCCCTGAAAACATTTATGCTTGTAGATACTTTTGCCTTACTATAGAATGCTGGTTACATATAAATTAATGCGCTTGCAGTTCTTATGTAATTTTTTATTAAATTAAGTTTGCCACGAAGTTTGCAACACCCCGAAAGTTAGAAACCCTATAAAGTATATATGTATATAAACGATCAGCATGACGAAATGAGTTGATTTAGCTAAGCCCTTTTGCGAATTAGTCCCTCAGTTTTTGAGATATCGTTTTTAAATTTCGCTTACGTGCACTTTTTTTTTGGATCAGGTGCTACTCATTTGTTAGAATCGCAGATATCGGACAACTAAAGCGCTTAGCTGCCATACAAACTGATCGAGCAAACTCAAGTCCTAGCGTGGAAAAAAATTTTAATTTACGACCAAATCTAATGTTCTTTTGGCCAAACTTCCATAGGGAATGTGGACATTGGTGTATACTTCTTACAATTTTTCTTCTGCTTCTCATTTTTGGCCAATCTTATCTCTGCTCGACGGTTGGCGAGCGAAACAGCGTATCTTTTCTATTCCATGGGTACGTTAATAAACAAAACGTTTGCAATTGGGGTGATGATAATTCACAAGCCATTGTTGAGACGCCATTACATCCTCAAAAAGTCACTGTTTAGTGTTCTCTAAGGGGATCGTAAGAAAGCCAGATTAACGACTTTTCGTTCCTGAACTGGCGATTTGGGTCGCTCGGCGGGATGTTTTTCGAGCCAGTCGCCCGAAATCCTAATAACAAACTTTTATCTTTATAAAGGAGAAGCTAAATACCTGGCCATAGCATTAAATAACGTGCCAATAATTTCATCTTGGAAACCACATGTAAACATTCAGAAAATCGCTGAGGTAAATTTTCATCGTGATAGGGTAGTATATCTATCTTGGTATACTTATTGCGATTCTTCCAGGGAAACCTATCATTTCTATATGTAAATGCCGATTAGCCCTCGGACAGGTTTCAAGTATATAATGAACTAACAGAAAAGTGAGCATTTCAGTATGTGTGCAAAAGATCTATTGTGTACACGTTTCAGGATATTAAGCATGTTATATAAATGTATATTTTTTGTTTTATATTATTTTTGGTGTCGACCACTACACTAGTAGCAACAAGCTAAACACACCTGTTTATTGGGGTTTTAATAGTGTGTTAACCAAAATTATTAAAAATTAAATGAAAAACAACAATAACAGCAAATGTCCGAATAGCAATAAAAATGTCAACATTGTTGTGCGGCCTGTCAACGATAAAGATTCGTAATTAAGATTGCATAACTAATGCCAAATTCAACAATCCAGCGGCCATGGTGCCAACAACGCTTAACACGCCGCACTGCCTCTGAGCATCCTTTTAAGAGCTGTGAGGATGACAACTCTGCCGCGTGTTAGAAGCGAAAAATGCCTACAAATGGCAGCCGTCATTAAGTTTGGAAACACAAACAGCGCGCAGATTACTGAAGCTCGGACGGACCGCTGTGTGAGCGCAGTGGCGGAACTTGTTTAAATACGGCTAAAGCACTCAGATACAAATCTTATGAGGCGCGCAGAAATAAAGCAAACAGAGAAATTAAATAAACTTCAAGCGCTGGAAAGTGACAATGGCCATTAGTGGCCCACTTCCGTGCCGAAAATGCCGCGCATGAGACAAATAAACGTTGGCATTGCCAAGCGCATTGTTGGTGTTTGTGTAATGCCTTTGTGAGAATATGTTTTGGCGTATGCTGCATTATGTTTTCCGGGTTTAAATGTGCGCTTAACGCTCTTTATTGTCCAAATCGAGGCATACGGCGGCAACCTGCGGCAAATGAGTGGCAAGTGGCGCGATGAGGACGGATGGCACACGTCCAGAGGGTGTAGCATTGCTAATGCAAATAAATCAGCAAACCTCACATATTTTAGCAGCAGCAACAGTGGGAATGCCACAGAGAGAGTGCGCTTTGCAACGCCTGGCAAATTGTTCACAACTCCCCATAGTCAGTGCTCAGGCCAAGAGCCATATTGGGTGTGTTTAAAGTGTTTGGCTTTGGCGCGTTGGAGGCGTGCGGTTTCATTTCAATACGCCACAGCGACAAGCATTAAATTATTTCCGGTGACCTAAGCACTTGTTAGCGACATTTTGTTACACCCCTTTTGGCACAGTTTTCAATTTTTTTTATCAACGAGTGTGGAAAGTTAGCAGTAATCTACAACACTCTGTGCTGTGACAACATTCGAAGTTCAGTTAGGTTGTTTCGTAAATATATCTGGTCAATGTGAGACATTCTGAAAGGCTTGCAGAGCAAATTAATTATATATGTTGATAAATGAAAAGAAAATGTTACCCCACCCATGTGACCCACTGGACATATTTTTATATCAGGGTATATTAAGTTTGCCACGAAATTTGTAACACCCAAAATAAAAGGTCTGACACCCTATAAAATTTCTATATATTATATATTCTTCAGTTTTGAGATATCGTTCTGAAATTTTGCACATATCTTTTTCGCTCCAAGAAGCTGCGCATTTGTCGGAAGCGCCGATATCGGATTACTATATCATAAAGTTGCCATACAAACTGAACAATCGGAATCAAGTGACTGTATGGGAAAATTTTTCATTTGACGTGATTTGTTCAAGAAATTTGGCATGAATTAGTTTCCAAGGCATTAGTGCAATCTCTGCAGTAATTGTTTAGATCAGAACACTACGATATTTACATACTTGTATGTAGCTGCCATACAAACTGACCGGTCAAAATCAAATTCTTTAAGGAATCTTGTGCATTTTTGAAGGGTATTTTAACTACGTTGCAACCGAAGTTTACGGTTTTTATTTTTATTACGCTCTTATTAGTCACCAGCGTGTTGCGATATTTTGGAATAACCATTTTACACCGTTAGTGTTAAACACAACTATACATTAGTTCGTTGCGCCATGAACAAAATATGGGTACATTTTTTGATTACGAAGCATAAGGCTATGATTATGATGAAGTGTGTCACAAAACTGTTTTTATCATTATTGGCTTATTTCAAATAATGGTTTCAATTAACGAAGTGAAATAATCGATATAAATTGACTTGATTGAAAGATTGCGCCTTAAACAATAAAACTTTATCATTATGTGAGAGTATGATCTAAATTAGAAATCCTCGTTGGAAAAAAATTCACTAATATCAAGAGGTTCATTAGGCATCAAATGCCTATTTTATAGATCGTAAACTTTTACACTATTGGTTC